AAAAAAAAAAGTGTATTTTTAATTGTAGTTGTTCAAAGTCCTTTTAGGCACTGCCTAGTTAGGGTGCCAGAGATCAAGCGCTGAAGCTAGGGGGGAAGTTATACAAGTTCACTGACTTTGTTTTCTGTTCTAGATGTGGGCCTATGGTGCTTGATGCTCTGATCAAGATTAAAAATGAGTTGGACTCCACTCTGACCTTCCGCAGATCATGTAGGGAAGGTAAGAAGGATTTTCCAGCCTGCTAAACGGAAAATTGTCCTTAAAGACTGTTTGTTGGTGGCAGCGTATGTGTAACTGCTAGAAAACTTCAGGGTAGATGGCAGCGTACCACTCTCCTCTTCCAGCTGCTGCATATGAAATACCTCAGTGAATCAAGTAGTAAAGTTGAAGCTCATATTCAGAGGACATAATCGCACAACACTAAGCTGTGAGCAATATGCTTAAACAACCCCAGTCGTTCCTGTTTCTGTCCTAATCTTGTTCATCTTGCTGCCCTCCAGTGATTGACTGCATAGGGAAATCTGGGAAGAGAGATTACAACAGCAAAGTTGAGGGGGCAGATGTGGTGAACGGTAATGAATTGTAGGGGCTGCTTTATCTAGCACTGCTGTGGAAATAAGGAAGGGTGTAACTGGAAGAGTACTTATGACTTCTAGGAATAGCTTCAGGAATCTTTTTTTGGCCCTTTGACTAAGCTAAATGATTGATTGAGGAAGAGGCCATCTGGTGGTTGACATTGCAGAGCGACCGGCTGGTTCTCATAGAGGTACAAATCAGCATGTCTGTTTAACTGCATTAAAACTTACCTGTCCAGGTGACTTTCCCTGTAAAAAAAATCCTAATTCCTGGGTAATGTTGGGATGCTGAGCTTAGAATGATAGTTGTGGAAATGCAAGAAGGGAGGACACCTTTATAGAATGACTTTGGATTTAATGAGGTGGGTTTGCAAGTATGAGAAATTCAGGTGCAATTGATGCCTAAAGATGTTTTGACTTGGATCTAAATGAAAAGCACGCTTTAACGCAGCTGTTCCCTGTAGAGTCTGCATACCAAGTGGAGGAATTTCATACGGTGTGGTTGTTCTCAGTGTCTGATATTTAGATAGCCAACACTCTTCCTGAGCAGCTGGAATTAATTGCCCTGAATACTTTTCTTTGAGAACCTGAAGACAGATTTTCAAGCTGGGCTGGTTCAATCTTGCCCCTTCTCTACCGTGCAGGAAAAAAACCCAAGACAATCACATGTTCATATTCCATACTTGTGGGCTTGTGTCTGCAGTCCTGGTTCCCTCTCCAGTTGACTGGAAAATACTTGTAACCGTTTCTCGAGTGGGAGGAATAACCTTGTTCGAGTGCCAGCCTTTATCTGGCAGCAAGGGGAAGGCCAGTGCATCAGGCGCTGAGGCGGACTGGCTCGCCGCTGTGAGGAGCAGTGGCATTTCTCTGACTCATATCAGTTGATATGTGTCAAATCCTCTGAAATTAGAGTTTTGCCCTTTCAACATTTGTCTTCTTTCTAATATGATGTTTTAGGCATCGGCCTGAATTGGATACCCGAGCTCCTGACCTGAGCAGTATCTGTGACAGTTCTGCATTGGTTTTTCGTGTAAACCTTGGCCTTTCCTGGGCTTCATCTGATCCTTCTGTTACTGGGAGATCATTAGTGGTGTCATTTCATCCATTTGTTAAGCTATTTATATGCTGTTTGTTCTGGTGAATGTCTGTCCTCTCACCTTTGGGAGTTAATGAATGCGGTTTATGGGACCACTCTACCCTGCTGCAGAAGGCACAGAAAGAAGCTTCTGTCTTAGGGACTTTGTTTTATGTTCCTGACCTTCAGCGATGCTTTTGACCGTAACTGTAGGGCTGATGGGGGATGCGCCTGGTTCCCATGTTATAATCTTAGCGTTAGCTGCTTCGCATCACTATGAGCTTGTGCTTGAAACTGTGAACAAAGCTGAGTGTTTTCCCCACCCAAAGCAGCATGTAAAACTAATGAATGATGTGAAAGGGATGAAGTGTCCAAGCAACTTGTTTTCTGCTGTGGAAGGGAATTCAACACTGAGAATGTGCTTAGGCTTTAATAAAAGTGACTCCTGTGTTTGTTCTTTATTTAAATAGCAACATGTTTGGCCCAATGGCAACTTCTGGCGTTTTCCTTGTCACGTACAGAGTTTCTTGGAAGACGGCCTGGGGGCATGTTTGGGGCCAAGAGGATCTTCCTCAAGTAGGATAAGAGGGTAAATATCTGATGCTTTAATCTTTTCTCCCACTCAGGCATCTGCGGCTCTTGTGCTATGAACATTGCTGGTGGAAACACACTGGCCTGTATCAAAAGAATTGACCCCGACCTCAACAAGATCACTAAAATCTACCCTCTCCCCCACATGTATGTGGTGAAGGACCTTGTTCCCGTGAGTATCTGCCTCTCTCAGCTTGCGACCAAGAGTGACACCGTTCCAGGCAGCTTGAGGTTCAGATTGAGTGGGAAAGGGTAATGTTGGGAGGTGCCAACAAGATCAGGTCTCGCAATTCACGTTACTCCTGCTAGTGTTTACTGGCTTGGGTGGGTCTGAGCTTCGCAGCAGTGACTAGATCTGTCCTCATTTGGAGGAATGTGGCAGGTTGAGGTAGAAAATGCTACCTTCTGTTGGAGTGGTAGCAGATGTTCGATCTCTCATGCATAAATTTAGCTAAATAAACGTGACCTCTTTGCCTTTTGACTCCTAGGACCTGAGTAACTTCTATGCACAGTACAAATCCATCGAGCCTTACCTGAAGAAGAAGGATGAGTCGAAACAGGGCAAGGAGCAGTACCTGCAGTCCATAGAAGACCGTCAGAAACTGGTTACTGCTTCTTTTCTACCGTTGAAATCCCTTCCAGATAAGACCAGGATTAAACATTAACATGCAGTAGCTTCTAGTTCCATAATGACAAAGCTGTCTGGTGCAAAACCCAGTGTGGGTGGAATCTGCTCCCTGAAATGCAGAGTCATGGCATGCCTGCATTGCTAGGGGTAACATTTGCTAATGAAACGCAGTTGCGGTTGCGATGGGGACTCTGATCTCATTTCCACTGTCTGCACTGCAAAACCCTGTGTATTTGTAACAACATTGTGAAGGCTACAGGCTTGTAATATTCCAATGGAGAGAAGGCACTGCAGTTTGTGCTGGCGTGTAGGCTGTCAGGCTCGGCGCTGTCTGTCTTGTCTAGCTGCAGCATGCTAAACAATGCTCTCGTGTTGCTGCTTGCTGTGTTTTACAACCCTAAAAACTAATGGCAAAAGCTAAACTCTTTTGGGTGTGGAGACACAAGCATGGTGTGTTACTGAAAGTCTTCGGATGTCTGTCTTGAGCACTGCATTATTTTGAGGGGATTTTCTGGGAATGTAGGTTGTTGGTCCAAACTTTCTGCATAAAGCTGAAGGGTGTCTGAGGAACCATTTGAACAGCTGGGACGTAAGAGCTTTTTAAAAAGCTTATAGTGTGGATAAGTTCTTGTCTGGATTTCCTTGACTGCCACAGTAAGTATCATTAAACCAGTTTTTCCTTTGCTTCTGACCTGCCTTGATGGATCCATCACTCACTTCGTGGTTCAAAGCTGAGCCTGTCGGTGCTCCGCTGTGATCGTTGCTGCAGTGCTGTCACTGAGTAGGTGCAGAGTGGGCAGGCAGCCTGGATTTTGGCAAGTGGTAAAAGAGGTGAATATGAACAGCAAAGAGGAAGGCTGATTAAAGGGGATTCAACAAAAACATGTGAGCTGCAGCCTAATTCTCTGCAGTGATCTTTGAAAGTTTTCCGTTATGTGTGTTTGCTGTGAAGTTAACATCTGATGAGTAGAGGGGTCATGTGCCCAAGATGTCAGCAGCACCATGCGACTGACGCTGTGATGTCTTAACAGCCGCAGGATTTTACAGTCTTTTTACAGACAGAATCTCTATCCAAGGGCAACGGTTAGTTCTGCACCACTTCATGTTGTTATCTGATCCACACGTAAGGGCTAAAGGGACTCTCCTGTCGCGTGGTTTTCATAAAGCAGCATCCTTGAAATCACATTCAGGTAGAAGTAAGCAAACCTAAAAGCGACTGCAAGAGCTACCTGAATCTTTCTCACAAGTAGTAAACTTGCTTTTTATCTCATTGTTGAAGTTTCTCTTGCTTTGAGAACGGCCTGTGTGCAGGAGAAACTTGGATACAGTGTCAGCCAAAAAAATTCCCACCTTTTTCTTTAAAGCATCGGTCATTTGGAATGTTACAATTAGAAGTAAGGCAAGTTTAGAGCAAGAAGGTAACTGACTTACCTAGTTTTGGCAAGTCTTTCCAAAAGACTAGTGCAGTAGACTTGTAACAAGCTCCCAGCAGTTCTAGCATCAGGTCTCTTTCTAAACTAAATTTGAGACCTTTGTCCCAAAACAACTTTCAGACACATAAATCAAGCCAGACTGGACTCTGTTTCTTAGCCTGGGGGGTTGATTGAGCTACTAGGAGACTTGGGAGACCCTCTGCTACTCAGAGTTTGTCTTCTGCCCGGTGTCATTTCCTCATAGGTCTACCTTCCTTCAGTGCCTGAAATAAAAAGGCCGCCATCTCTTTAAAAATGGTGAAATGGCTAAAGACTCGCACCATTCCCGTTCTGTAATTGCTTGGGGATCCCCTTGAAGCACATGCTAAACTATGAGCTCTTCTTCCTCAGGGTGTCGGGCAGACTTTGCTCTTTCTTCTCTTCTGTAACGCGGCCTTGAATTGTGAATTGGTTACCTATCTGCTCCTTTCCTCAGCCACTTACTGAGACAGGCTGGAAGGAAGGAATGCAGGAAGACCAAGCGATTTTTACATTTTTCTTCAGTTTATGCTTTTTCCCCCCTGTTGTCATAGAACCCTAGTGTATTACATGGGTTGAGTTGGGAGGATGGCACGCCTCTTGTCTCAGAAGACCTGCACGTAGGAACTGCTTTCTTCCAGCAATGCTTCTTCAGTGTAAGGGTTTTGGGGCGACTGTTGTGGCCAGTCACTAGAGGGGAAAGTGGTGAGGGAAGCGTGTGTTCCTGTAAATCCCCTTTTTGTAAAAAGGACTCGTCATGGGTTTCTGGAGTGGCTTGACTGTGGTGTCCCACCCCTGTGCAGGACGGACTCTACGAGTGCATCCTGTGCGCCTGCTGCAGCACCAGCTGTCCCAGTTACTGGTGGAACGGGGACAAGTACTTGGGTCCTGCGGTACTGATGCAGGTAAGGACAGATCCCATTTGTCAGCTGAGAGTGCTGAGGGACTCTCCATCTAAAAGCAGTACAAATACTTGCAAAGACCGGTGGGATAGTATTGCATAGTCCAGATCCTGGACCAGAGTTCCTGAGTTAGGTGTCGCTTTTAAAATCTCGCGCTGATTACACCACTTTGAAGAACCATTTGGTGTGTCAAATGCCACTGACTTTCAGGCCTACCGGTGGATGATTGACTCCAGAGATGACTACACAGAGGAACGCCTGGCACAGCTTCAAGACCCGTTTTCTCTCTACCGTTGTCACACTATCATGAATTGCACAAGGACTTGCCCTAAGGTATGTGTGTGTCCCTTCTGGGGTTCCTGACTTGTTTCTAAGCACCCTGTTTGAAAACAATAGGAAAATACCCGCTTAGGCTTTTGTTTTCCTCAAGCTTGCCTTGGCTTGTTCAGCCTCTTGAAACCCAGTGGGTTACTAGCCAGTCGTGCTTATGATAGTGACTGTACAAGAGGACGTGGCGAAGTTTGTATTCCGCATCACAGGAACACCTCTTCCTCGTGAGCAAGGCTGTGACTTTGAGAACCTGTCCATCTCCAAGATGTGGGAGTATGACTGTAGGGTGCTGGTCGTGTGCGGCCCACTGCCAGAAACAGTACGGGGAAATTTGTCCTGCGTAGTCAGATCAGTGGTGTGTGCATTGTGAGTAATACGCTTAACCCCCACACTGCAACCTTTAACTCCGATGGTAGCAGCTATCCCCGAGGTATTGTGCAACTTCTGTAACGGAGACGACTAGGGCAAGTTTTGGGCGCCCTTGGGGGACGTGTTTTGTGCTGACGTCCTACCTTCTGGGCACTTCCCAGATCTCTCTGGTAATTCTTTCGAGAACTGAGCAAGCTTTCCCAAATCAGAACATTTCTCTTCCTCATCTTGCAACGACCTTGTGCCTGTTGTTGGGCAGATTACCAAGTTTTGCTTTCCTGCCAGCTGTCCTGTTTTCTCGCCAGCCTTGACTTGCACCTGGTGGTGGAGTAGTTCTCCCGTGAGCTGTGAAATGATACGAAGGCAAATGTTTGAGTGGATCATGAATGTGGGGAAGAAGAGATGCTTGAGATCTGGGTTGATGTGTTTATCAGGAGCACTGCATGCTGATTTTTGCGTGTATTTTTCTAAAGTGATTCACTGACTACAGGTAATTTCCCCCTTGTTTAGGGAGCTAACTCATGATCTGGTATCAACCATAGTTCAGCTAAAGGTGAAGGTTCAACTTGAAGATCTGGCTGTACGTAGGAATGTACATAGTGCAGGGAAATAGCGCTTGGTCTGAAGTTTGAGACGCGTTTATGGTTAATAACACGTTTCCACTCACATGCTCTAATCCCGGCTGTTGTCTCGATCAGTCCTGAAAGGCTGCATGGTGAGCTCTGCGCCGGGGTAATTTCCTGTTCGTTCTCTGTCCCGCAGTGCTGCTGCTGTAATCACAACGATACAGCAGGGCAGTTGTGATCCCTCTCTCCTTTTGAGATTAGGCATGCTTGGTTTGGTAGCAGTGCTGCAGGATTAAGGGCCTTTGCAACACGACATGTGTCTATATTGTAGAAAAACCTTCTTAGGAAAGCTTAGCGGGCTTTTGTGTCAGGAGCATTTCCAGCTTGTGACTTAGTGTTCTTGCTCGCTTCCCTAGTGTCCTCCAATGCACAGCTTTTTTTTAATTTCAGACGAGGAGAAAAGCCACATCTCTTGCACCGTCACTGTCGGGCTTTTATAAGGCACTTTCCTGCCTCCAGAAGTTGTCTCGTAACACCCATAAAAGTGTTGAATTCAGTCCCGCTTGAGCTTCATTGAAAGTTCCTATCACTCAGCCACTGGTTCTTCTCTTTGATCCTCACAGTGCTGATTAAAACCAGTCCTCCAAAGTCAAATGAGCGTTTTTCTTCAAGCGGTGGGAAGTGCTGCTGGTTCAGCCTCCAGGTCCAGGAGGTGAACTCCCAGCACAGCGTCTCTACTCCAGGCTGGCTTGCTCTTCCCTTGCAAATTATTTGAAAGGAAGCACAATATTAGGGTGGAGTCCAGCTTTTAGAGGAAAAAAAAACAGGTGCTGAGCACCTCCTCTGCTGGCTATTTTTATGAGTAGCAGCATACTTGTGAGTTTACTATGACTTGGATGGGGGCAAGGTGGGGAGGATGCTCTAACATCCCGATTTCCAGAGGAGCTAACTGACACTTTTCCTTTTTAGGGTTTGAACCCTGGCAAAGCAATCGCCGAGATCAAGAAGATGATGGCAACGTACAAAGAGAAGGCAACCGCTGCTTAATGCTATTTCCAGACTGGAAGTGTAATACGCAATCGTGCTTTACCTGGAAGTAATTTATACCTGATTTAACAAGAGAGGGTTCCAGCAGGGAGTTTGATGTTTTTCCTGTAGGTTTGCACGTACAATAAATACTGTAAAGAACAAAGAAGAGTTGTTACTTTATTAACAATATTGAACTGGTGCTTCTGCCTCTACCATAGAATCCCAAACCTCTCTGGTTTGCGGTTTTTGAGTGTGTGAGCAGCTGGGGCTCTGCTGTGGGATGAGGATTTGAAAGTGACCCCACAGCAGAGATGAATGGAGACACAATTTCTGTCGTGACCGTGATCCCGCATCTTTAAAGCAAATGCATGTGTGGGAAGAGACCTGCAAGTAATAAGCTCTGTGGCAATTAGCAAGAAAACAAGGGAAGGGGCTGGGAAAGGGGAATGTTGGAAGACTCTTGCCCTGTTTGGAAATCCCCTGGGCTCCTTGGTGAGGAGCAAAGTGAGGACCTGGAGCTCACAGGGTGCAGGCATACGGCAAAATACCGGTGGCAGCGCAGCTAGGAAAGAGGTGTCTTGCCACTGCCCTGCTGGGGTGCTTATGTTTACTCCATATTCTAAAGAGGATGAGATTTATTAGAACAGGGTTGGATCTTTCTCTTTACTCTAGTACAAGTGGGTTTTAGCTCCAGATTTCTCAAGCTTGTGATGTTCATAGTAGATTGTTGCTTCAAGCAGCTGTTTGCAGTCTTAGGGAGGTGAAGAGAAAGAAAGTGCTTTCCATTTTGCTCTTTAATAGATTTTTTTTTTTTTTTTTTTTTTGGTGTAGAGGTAGTAAAAACTTCTAGAAACGTCATGGTGCTGCTTCTGAGACATGGTGTGGTAACCAGGATGCTGCCAGTGGGCAGGAAATTAAGATTGAGGTGGCTTAAAAAGTCATATACAGCTCTGGAAAGGCTTACCCCCAAAAATGACCCTGTTTTTTCCATACATTCATCTATCCTGCAGTAAGGGAACCTTGTGGCTGTCTCAAGAAGCCAAACTGATGTAGCTGTCTTAATTTTCATTTGCAGAAATACTTCCTTCTTTTCCTGGAGCTTACGTCTTTATTCCCAAGAGCTGATGTGAGACAGACTTCTGTAGGTCGGGGACCTTACGCTTTAAATCCCTGTGTGTTGGGCTGCTCTTCCCTGTCACTGAATTTGCGCGTTTTCTGTGCCTGAAGTGAGGTGTGGTTCAGGATGGGCGAGCGCTGGTCCTGTGATGGAGAAGACTCCACTGGTGATATCAGCAGGGACGTGTTCTCAGTCCTGTGATACTGATATTTCTCTCTGTTGCATCCCTCTGCTGCTTATCTCATCTCCCTGCTTAAATCCGAGGAGTTCCCAGCAACAGCTTGAATAAAAAGCGCTTTGTGATCCCCCTTCCTCCTCCCACTATGCTTTTCTTTTTAGTGAACATGAGGGGTTTTTAACTGTTTTTTGCTTTGTTTTATTGAAAAGCTAGGCTCGCTTGCTGAGAAGAGGGCTGGATGGAAATGCGGCAGGGTGCGGAGGATCGGAAGGCAGCTCCTCACTGCGTTGACCGTCGCTGCGATGGCTGAGGTTTTTCTGTTCCGATTAACAAAATCTGCTCCAACTTTGGCTTCGGGAGGAACCGCAGGCTCTGCCTGAGTCACATCCAGAGAAAACACCGGCTTTGCCTCCATGTGAAGGAGCCCAAAACTGTGCCAGGACGGGTACAGGGGGGCGAGCGGTTGATTTTTGGTGGTGGTGGGCAGGGGCAGCCCTTCTCGCAGGCGTTGGTCATTTCTGGCAGTGGATTTGCAGGACTCGGAGCCCCAAAAATTCGAGCTTTGACTGGAGGGCTCAGCTGGAGAGCTGTGATTTGGGTCTGCACCTGCTTTTTTGGCTTCCAAA